TTGCTGATGACTGTGACATTCTTTGTTTACTGATGTGGCAGGCAATATTCCATTTCTCAATATCTCCATTTCGTTAGTATACCAGTTAATGAAACGGGCCAGTACCTTATCCCTTTCACCGGAAAGAAAAACAATTCGGGGACAGTAATGCCTCAGGATTTTACTGACAGTCCTCATTCTTCACAAATCCTGAAGGCTGACCCGGGTGTTACAAACTTCCCAAGGTTCTACTCTGTTGCAACATATAGATTTGCTTCTTTGCTCTCCTTCTTGAGCCTCCCCTCAGGAAGACAGCATCCACTTGCTAATGCTTTTATCCATAAAGGGACCTAGGATTACCAAAGAAAAACAGCAGTTTTTCCAAGCCCAGGTTTGACACTTAAGGCATCTGCTATCAGAACAAATGAAAAACCTGACCTCTCTAGCACTGAGTGACCTTCTTCTGACCTCTGGAAGGTAGATCTTCCTAAAGAAGGGGTGCTTTGTTGTTCACCCCCCCCCAACAGACACTGCTCTCCCGATCACTGCCCAGATGTCCTTTAATCCTGGGACGTACAAGTTCTGTTTCCACGTAGTACTTTCCTCTTGCAGGAAATCGAAATAATGTACTGACTTGAAGGTTCCTGTGGAATCTTCTTAAAAATACATTTTTTAATATTCTGAACATTAAAAGGATAATAAGGGAATATTATGAACAATTCTACTGGCATAAATTCAACAAATTAAATGTACCAATAAATAAATAAACAAAATACCAAAAAAAATAAATAAATTAAATGTACCAGTTCCTGTAGAAGCACAAACTGCCAAATTTCATCCAATATGAAAGAAATAATCTAAATATCCTTGTAACTTTTAAAGAAATGGAATTCATCATAGTAAAATCCCCCCGAAAAAGAAATCTCCAGCCCCTGATAATTTCACAGCTGAATTCAACGAAATGTTTGAAGAATTAACACTGATACTACACAATTGTTTTCAGAAAATACAAGACAAGGGAGCACTTCCCAACTTATTTTATGCTGGTATTAACCTAAAACCAAAACCTGACCAAAACAGTACAAAAAAACAAAACTAGAGACCAATGTCTCTTGTGAATAGACATTAAAAATCCTCCACAAAATATTAATAAATGGATGATGAGAAACTAAAAGAGACTAAGATGATGAGCCCAGTGAGAAAGAATTATACCCCTTTACCAAGCAGGGTTTATTCCAGACATTCAAGGAAGGTGCAATATTTGAAAGCCCATTAAAGTAGTCTATAATATTAACAGGCTAGGAAGAAAAACTCACATGATTATACTAATTGATGCATAAAATGCATTTGACATAATCCCATTTATGATAAAAACCCAGAAAACAGGGATAGAAGGGAACTTCCTCAAAAATAGAAAACATCTACAAACACTTAATGCTGACATCATACTCACTGATGTGATGAAAGAGTGCTTTCCCTGAGGATGGGGAACAAAGCAAGAATGTCCTCTCCCACCAGGCCTTCCAACAAAGTCCTGGAGACCAGAAAGAACTTTACTGCATGAACTTCTGGAGTGCTGCTTTCGTGGAGTGGGAGACACAGAAGCCAGATGGAAAAGGTGGGCAAAGGAATGGAAATGGTTCATCAAAGGGGTTTGGAATGACGACCCAGGTAAGATCACAGGTCAGCTCTATTTTCTCTCTTCAACAAGTTCCAAGCTGACTCCAGTGAGATTATCAGTTGACCCCTCTCCCCCTAACATTAGAGAAGTATCAGTTCAGTTCAGTGACTCAGTCGTGTCCAACTCTTTGCGACCCCAGGAGCTGTAGCACGCCAGGCCTCCCTGTCCATCACCAACTCCCACAGCCTATGTAAACTCATGTCCATTGAGTCAATGATGCCATCCAACCACCTCATCCTCTGTCATCCCCTTTTCCTCCTGCCCTCAATCTTTCCCAGCATCAAGGTCTTTTCCAATAAGTCAGCCCTTCACATCAGGTGGCCGGATTATTAGAGTTTCACCTTCAGCATCAGTGCTTCCAATGAACACCCAGGACTGATCTCCTGTAGGATGGACTGGTTGGATCTCCTTGCAGTCCCAGGGACTCTCAAGAGTCTTCTCCAACACCACCGTTCAAAAGCATCAATTCTTTGGTGCTCAGCTTTCTTTATAGTCCAACTCTCACATCCATACATGACTACTGGAAAAACCATAGCCTTGATTAGACGGACCTTTGTTGACAAAATAACGTCTCTGCTTTTTAATATGTTGTCTAGATTGGTCATAGCTTTCCTACCAAGGAGTAAGCATCTTTTAATTTCATGGCTGCAATCACATAGAGAAGTATATAAAGCTTTAAAAATCTGAGATGAACACAATCTTAGTAAAGGTTGCTTGAAATCTTAGAAATCACCTAGTGTAACGTTCTTGGAGAAGGCAATGGCACCCACTCCAGTCCTCTTGCCTGGAAAATCCCATGGACGAAGGAGCCTGGTGGGCTGCAGTCCATGGGGTCCCACAGAGTCAGACGCGACTGAGCAACTTCACTTTCACTTTTCACTTTCACGCATTGGAGAAGGAAACGGCAACCCACTCCAGTGTTCTTGGCCGGAGAATCCTAGGGATGGTGGAGCCTGGTGGGCTGCCGTCTATGGAGTCGGACACGACTGAAGCGACTTAGCAGCCACAGCAGCAGTGTAACGTTCTAAGCACTTTCCACAGCACCTGGCCCATGTGGGTAATTGCTCTGGTAAATTCGACAGGTGAGGAAACTGAAGTTCAAGTCGATTATCTCCCCACAGCCAGATACTGTTTGCTAGGTTGGAAAAGCCCTTCTCCCTAGTGACTCTTTGGCACCCCATGGACCGCAGAACACCAGGCTTCCCTGTCCATCACAAACTCCCGAAGCTTGCTCAAACTCACATCCATCGAGTCAGTGATGCCATCCAACCATCTCATCCTCGGTCCTCCCCTCTTCCTCACCACAGATTAGTTCGATCTCTTCCACAGAGTTCCCTGGTTTCTTAGAGCGTGAGTCCTCCTGGCCCCCTTTACTCATCTTACTTGTGTGCACTGTTATAACCTGTCATTATATACTCAGTCACACAACGTACATTTCCTTCACTAAACTGCCTTGGTGAGCTTCCCTGGTGGGTCACCTGGTGAAGAATCCACCTGCAGTGCGGGAGACCTGGGTTCGATCCCTGGGTTGGGAAGATCCCCTGGAGAAGGGAGAGGCTACCCACTCCAGTGTTCTGGTCTGGAGAGTTCCATGGACTGTGTAGTCCATGGGGTTGCAAAGAGTCGGACACGACTGAGCCACTCTCACTTTCATTCTCTAAACTCCCATCTCCCAAGGGCAAGGGTCCAGTGGGTTTTCCTTATAGCTAGTACAGAACACACACCTAGACAATTATTTGTGAATTGTATTTTTCGCTCCTCTCTAGGGCAGGAAGTCCTTTACACATGTGTTTCAAGTGACAGGATAGTAAGCATTTTTCCAATAAAAAATTCTGTGTCAAACTCTTGACCCACTCTCAGGCCATTTGCCATCCCCGAATCTTTCACCACACCTGGACTAAATTCAGTCGTCCAGCTCGAGCCCTGGCTTTCCCTAAGCATCCCTCATCCTCCTCTGGAATTGCGCCCGGTTTGGCCCCGGGTCTTTGCAGATGGTGACTGCAGCCATGAAATTAAAAGACGTTTGCTCCTTGGAAGGAAAGTTATGAGCAACCTAGACAGCATGTTAAAAAGCAGAGACATTACTTTGCCAACAAAGGTCTGTCTAGTCAAAGCTATAGTTTTTCCAGTGGTCAGGCATGGATGTGAGAGTTGGACTGTGAAGAAAGCTGAGCGCCAAAGAATTGATGCTTTTGAACTGTGGTGTGGGAGAAGACTCTTGAGAGTCCCTGGGACTGTAAGAAGATCCAACCAGTCCACCCTAAAGGAAATCAGTCCTGGGTGTTCTTTGGAAGGACTGATGCTGAAGCTCCAATACTTTGGCCACCTGATGCACAGAACTGACTCACTGGAAAAGACCCTGATGCTGGGAAAGATTGAAGGCAGGAGGAGAGGGGGACCACAGAGGATGAGATGGTTGGATGGCATCACGGACTCAATGGACATGAGTTTGAGTAAACTCTGGGAGTTGGTGATAGACAGGGAAGCCTGGTGTGCTGCGGTCCATGGGGTCGCAAAGAGTCGGACATAACTGAACAAGTGAACTGAGCTGAACCTCCCCTCTTGGGGTGGTTTTTCAGCTCCAGGCCGCCTCCACCACAGGTGTTTCTAGACGTCTCAGAATCGTCGGCCGCACCAAGCAGTCGATACTAGAGCCCAGTGTGGTTTGGAAAACCACATTTATTCGTAAAGCAATTCGTTCCCAAAGCGCTTTCACAAGCATCTCATTTGGTCCTCCAGAGCCCAAACGGAACCCGTTTCTGGTTCCTTTCCATTGCTTCCTCGTGTTAAGTTATGCTTTTGGTCCTGTCTCCGGGTGTAGCCCAAGCTGTTTTCCTCGGGCTGACCTGGGTCGCCCGACAGACTCCCGCCGGGCCCGCCCACCACCCGCTTGGAACCTCGATAGCCCACACGAGAATTCCCGCCAGCAGCGGAGACAAAAATAACGGCCGAGCCGAAAAGCCTTCCCAGCTTTCCGGCCCTCAGGAGCCCCTTCCGGGGACCCTCTAGGCTGCCTCCGCGTCTCAGTGGTTCTTCCGGTTTCTCTACTCTCGCAATTCCCGCCTCTTCCCCTGCGCCGCCGGGATTTAACGAACTCTCGCGAGGTTTAGGCCTCTTCCTAGGCCTGCTCGAGTCGGCAGCGGCAAGAACCTTTGGCCGCCTCTGCAAGGTACGTGATTCGTGGGCGACTTGCCGGTGTGCCGGCTTCGGGGGTCACACGTCTGGGGCCCCCGGGTGGGGATGCGGCCGATTGCCCGGCCTGGGGGCCCCGATGGCTTGTGCGGGGGGAAGATGGGGCCGGCCGCTCCCTCTGAGTACCCTGTGCTTCCAGGTCCCGGCCATGTTCAGCTCCAGCGCCAAGATCGTCAAGCCCAACGGCGAGAAGCCGGACGAGTTCGAGTCGGGCATCTCCCAGGTGAGGGGGCGGGCGAGCCGAGGTCCCGATGGGGGTCGGGGTGAATGAAGGCTGCGCGCGCTGAACATGGGCTGCGCCCTCTGCCGCCCCGCAGGCCCTGCTGGAGCTGGAGATGAACTCGGACCTCAAGGCGCAGCTGCGGGAGCTGAACATCACGGCCGCCAAGGCAAGGGGGGCCCCCGGGGAGGGCTTCGGGTCCCCCCAGGACGGGGCGGGGCTCGGGCACGTGCGCGGGCCGCCGGGAGGGCCGGGGCCACTCTCCCCACCTAACTGCGTCTGTTCTTCTCTTCCCGCTTCGACACTAGGAGATCGAAGTTGGCGGTGGCCGGAAAGCTATCATCATCTTCGTCCCCGTCCCGCAGCTGAAGTCTTTCCAGAAAATCCAGGTGCGCCTGGTGCGCGAGCTGGAGAAGAAGTTCAGCGGGAAGCACGTCGTCTTCATTGCCCAGGTGCGCCCGCGGGGCACGTCGTGTCGGGTCGCTGGAGTGAGGGCTTGTGCTGGTAGAGTCACTGGTCGGTGCTCGCACCGGGTGAAAGAGATAAGGGGTACTGCTGCTGGTTGGCCGCCTGTTTGCGAAGACTGACTCCTTGGAAGACACCCTGATGCGGGGGAAGATTGAAGGCGGGAGGAGAAGGGGACGACAGAGGGAGAGATGGTTGGGTGGCATCACTGACTCGATGGACATGAGTTTGAGTAAGCTCTGGGAGATGGTGATGGAGAGGGAAGCCTGGCATGTTGCGGTCCATGGCGTCACAGAGTCGGACACGACTGAGCGACCCAACTGAACTAAACTGCTGTTAATGTTAAAGCGTCCTCAGTGCCTGCCTTGGCTGCAGTGCCATAAAGGTAGTGGGTTGTGCAGAGGTGATGAAGGTAAGATGTGAACTTGGTGCTTGCTCCGCCTGGTGGGATTTCTCAGCAGGCTCACACCATCCTGGGGAATTAAATGTAGATGTTGGGAGGAAAAGGCATGCTAAGGAATGGTTGACAGGGTAAGGAGAAAATGGTCAAGAGGCTGTTCTTGTTTTTTAAGTTAGATTGGGCCTTCCTGCAGACAAATCTATAGGACTTAAGTGCTTGACTGATGAGAAAGTCAGGAGTAGTAGTCTGACTTGGTACCTGTAAGTGGGTGGTGGGTTGGATGAAATGTGAACAGGCATGTAACATTTGGGGGATCAGTCACATTTTTCCAGTTACATTTTAATATAAGCTGTGGGTTCTGAAAGAATAAATGAGATCGGAAGTACTTCAGAGATTCTTACTCACTTGTTGGATCTAGGTTGTTTAACTTTCTGGAGCTTTGAATTTATTCAGCCATTAAGTCCTTCGTTGTTAAAAGTTTGTTGCTTGATAATTTTTCCCTTACAGAGGAGAATTCTGCCTAAGCCAACTCGGAAAAGCCGTACGAAAAATAAGCAGAAACGTCCCAGGAGGTAGGTTTTATCAGCATCAAAAATGTTGATTGGCATGGGTTGTTTATAGTAAGATTTATAGTAAGTTTTTTAAAATTAAGTGTGGGTGATGGAGGAAAGCCGTTCACATGGGGATTTTTATCAAGTAACGTGGTTTCTGTAACTGTGTGTGAAATGTTTTAAGGTTGATTCTGGAGGTAAGAATTACATAAGTCACGTAGGTGGTACAGTAGGTTGCTGTGCTCTCAGAGGTGAGACTTTGATCCAGTTCTTTGGGTGAAGGGTGGGAGCAGTGAGGAGGCATCTGGTTGAGTGCGGTGGGGTGAAGCACGCCCATGTGGAGGTGGGCAGTACGTGTGTGCTCAGATTTTACTTTTGCTGTGGATTTGAAGTTGAAAAACTGGGCTTGTCTGTTGGCTCACTGCACAGGTTAAAGGTGTTGCTGGCATTTTTTTTTTAATTGTTGCTGGCATTTTAGATGCATGTTTTATGAACTTGATTGACTTGCAGGTTATCTGCCGTAAACTAGATACTGGAGGTTGGCTCCTTGGTTGGCTTACTGGTATTTTGTTGAAGTCGCTGATTCCACACACTTGGTTTATTGGGTCCCTGCAGGCCCTGCACTTGGGCAGTTTGAGAAAGGACTTTAGCATCCCTGCTGACAGGGTAAAGGGTATCACTCATCCTCCCTCCATTCAGCTGGTGTTCGTGGTGCTGGCGTCTGAACTCAGTCTTGTCTTGAACCAGGGAGTGCCTGGAAGCAGGGCGTGAGGGGTCTGTAATGTTGTGGACAGGTGTTGCCGGTGCCAGTGTGGAGGATGGAGAGGCAGTGGGGAGGCCGGAAAGGCAGGTGCCGAGTGTTATGGAACTTGCACTGTAACTGCTTTGATCTTGATTTCAGGGCAGTTGGGGTAGCATTGGAATGTAGAACTTTTTTAGGGAACGGCTATTCTGGATAGTTTGCAGGAGATCAAATACAGGGATAATGAAGAACGTTTAGTTTATTAATGCTGATACTTAAGTAGTTTCGTAGCCTCGGCTCTGACAACCTGAATTAGTACTTGAATATAAAAAGCAGACACAGTGAAGGTCCTTTGCTCGGCACACAGTGAAGGCGCTGACCCCCAGATCTGTAGCCTTGGTTCTCCCTCTTCCCAAACCTGTCTGCCCTTCTCGGCTGATGACGTCAGCCTGTCCCAGTGACCTGGTCCAGACCCGAGAGTCTTCCTTCCCCTGCACTGAGAGATCCCACCCATGTCCAGTCCTTCCCTGCCTTCGGCTTCTTTTCCGTCTCTGTGCTCATCTTTCTCCTGCATGGGTTACATGCAGGGTTCCTGTTACTTTCCTTCTGAAGCAGACTCGTTCTGCTGCTTCGTGATTGTTAAGTTGTGCTGCCACTGCTTTCCCTGAAAGAGATTTTAGATCAGGCTAGAATTTGAGACCAGCTTGGATTCCGTTCTACTCTGTGGTTTGTTTGGTTTTTTTTTTTTTTAAGGAAATAATTAACTATCCATGGTGCTTTCCTAACGTGTAAGGGTGTGCTTAGCCAGTGGTTAGCAGCCATTCGGTGACGGGGCTGACTGTCTGATTTGTTTGCTGGGAGATGAGGAAGCTGCTCTTGGCCTTGAAACAGTGAGCTTTTCGGTCATTTAGGAGCCCCTTCTGTGTGCGGAGCTGCTGGACAGGAAGAGACGGACGTGCTGTCTGAGCCACTGAGGGGTGAATAAGACCTGGACGCGTTCTGTAATGAAAGGGAGCCCTGCAAACACTGGGAATGAGAACAGTCTCTTAATTCTCTCATTCCTGGTATCCTGTGATACAGAGCTGATAGGCTAGAAGTTTGGGGTTAATTGAACCTTGTCAGGCAGCGAGATGGGTTGTGAACTTGAGTCATAGCCAGGAGAGAAGCAGGGCTCCCTTGGCAGTCTGTGATGGGGTGGGCTGAAATTGGGACCCTCATGGGAGGGGCTACATCCTAGAGTCTGGGATAGAGCAGTGTCCTTTGGGCGGGGTGTCGCCTCATTCCACTGCAGTAACAGTGAGGGGCTTTGGTGCATCTTAGAGGCCAGGGAGCCCTCAAAGGGTCTTTGGTAGGTAAAGCCTGTGGTGATATCTATAATCATTTGACAACACTGGAGAAGATTGTTTTGGAAGAGAAAAGAGGTTACTGCAGTGATTTAGTTGAGAATCATGTGAATGACAACCTAAAGGTGTGTCCAGAAGTAAAGGTCATCACCAGTGTCCTTTTCCTAGAGATGATCACTGGTGGCAGCTGGTGTGTGTGGTTTACAACCCGCTGAGCTTTTGAAGTGAGAGGGTAGCGTGTGTGTCTCCCTCTCCTCGTGTGACAGCGGCTCTGCTGTGACACGAGCCGGAGGGTGTGACTCGTGTTATAAAGCTCGTGTTGCTGTGGCTTCAGGAACCTGGCGCGTCCACTCGGGGTTTGACTTGCAGAGGTGCCCTGGGGTTCCCAGGAGGCAGACCTTGCTGGGTTTCTCACCTCTGTCGCTGTGTTCTTCAAGCCGCACTCTGACCGCTGTGCACGACGCCATCCTGGAGGACTTGGTTTTCCCCAGTGAGATCGTGGGCAAGAGGATCCGCGTGAAGCTGGACGGCAGCCGACTCATAAAGGTCCACTTGGACAAGGCTCAGCAGAACAACGTGGAGCACAAGGTAGTGGCCGGCCTCTGGGGAGAGGCCCAGACGCAGGCTGGCGGAGCGCGGCTTGGCGCTCCCCGTCGGCTCCGGAGCCCGCCTTGTGGGCCCGGCGCTGCTGGCCTTGTGGGCTGCAGATTAGGTTAAACTGGGAGATGTTTTAAACACTGGAATTCTTTTAATTTGTTAGGAGAAATGGAAGTGAAGTAATCCTCTTGTGTGTTAGGCTGAACCTAGGGCTGGGTGGGTGGTGGTCAATACAGAACCTGGGGACAACTGTCCTTTTGCTTCATTCCTGGTAAACCGTCACCCGAGGGTCTCCGAGTGCCCCAGCGGAGCCGCGCTTGGTGAGGGTGTGGAGTCCTTTCCCCACACCAAAGACGGGCTTTGCCCTGTTTGGGACTGCAGACGGCGCGTCCCCTGTCTTTGTTGTGATGATTTATCTCTTCTCTTGTAGGTTGAAACATTTTCTGGTGTCTATAAGAAGCTCACGGGCAAGGACGTTAATTTTGAATTCCCAGAGTTTCAGTTGTAAACAAATGACTAAATAAAATATTATTCACAGTACTGTTTTGGGCGTGGCTTTCGGACATGCAGAGCTGTCTGGATTTCCGCGGCGCTTCCTGCCCAGGTGGGGGCCTTGGACCCACAGCGCCTGTGGTCGGGGCCCTGTGTCGGGGTGCACGGCACAGTGGCCCCCTTACACGTGCGTCCGTGTTTCTGGTTCCCGCCCCTTGTAGGTGGTCACACTCACGGATGTAGTTCACATGCCCTCAGCAGGCCCTCGGTGGTGGTTGTCTGTGTTACGAGCCCACGCGGGGTTTGTGTTGGGGTCCATGACTGGCCGAGGGCCCCGCTGCCCCAGCTCCCTGGTGGACTGACCGACTCCAAGGCCGCCCCTCCTCCCATCCTTCCTCGCCCGTGGCCTGAGGAATCAAGAGCCACCTCCTGCGGGGGCCCTGTGGTGGGGCCTGCACTGGCAGCCACAAGCCCGGAGCTCGTTGGAGGGAAACACCTGGGTCCGCGCCCGGCCGCCCGAAGCTGAAGCTGCAGGGACGGGCCATCTCCAGGGTTTCAAAGCCCTCCGGCCGATTGTGAGCCGCCTCCTGTCATATGACCTCGGGACCTTCCGGTGTCACGCGCTGTGACGCCTCTCACCACCACGGGGCCCCGTGCGCTCCACGTCCGCGTCCTTGCCCGTGCTGGCTGGGCGCCTGTGTCGAGCCAGCAGGCCGTGGGGACGGGGCGGGTGGCCTGGTGTCCCTCTGCCACCAGGAGCTCTGGAGAAGTGAGCCTTGAGGGGAGGGCGGGCGAGGTTGACGTCCTCGTGGACAAAGTGTCCGGAGATGCGGCTGCACAGAGGTGACCTCTGGGGAAGAGTCCCAGCTGGAGACACATGGGCTTGCTGTGTGTGTCCAGATGTCTCAGTTATGCCTGAGAAATGTAAATAGTAACTGGGATGTGGGCCAGATTCTCGTCCGAACCCTCAGAAGTGGCCCGGCTCTCTGGCAATCAGTTTGGGGCGGGGGTCAGTGGGGTGAAGAAGAGGAAGACCGGAGGCCCCAGAGGAGAAGCACCAGTGATGCTGGAGGCTTTTTGGTACTCGTTTGCAAGGCAGGTATAGATGTGATTTGTGATCTAGAAACAGCTGTAATTTACAATGTACTTCAAGTACGCAAGTTAATATCACAGAAATGCGCATCAAAACCACAAGCTATCACCTCACACCTGTCAGAATGCTAGTCATAGAGGTAACAGAATGGAGTAACAACTCTTGAAAACAACTCAAGTAAACACTGGTGGAAATGTGTGTCAGTGCGGCCACTGCAGAAAAGCATGCAGCTTCCTCAAAAAGAGTTGCTGTACAATCACACAATTCCACTTCTGAGTATTTATGCAAAAGTAATGAAAACATCAAAGGATGTCTGTCCTCCCAGGCTTGGTGCAGCGTTATTCACAATCTTCAAGGTACTGAAATCTACCTTCTTGTCACGGGACAAATGGATAAAAGTTACAGATAGAAATGTGCAATCAAATACTCAAGTCATGAGGAGGAGGGGCGTCCTTCATTGACAGCGTGCTTTTTACCTGATGTCATAAGCTAAGTGAGATAATCCAACGGAAAGACACTGATTGTAACTTTCATGTGGGTCTGAGGAAGCCAAACTAGAAAGGGGCAGTGGTTGCCAGAGTGGTGCTGGCAGGCGGGGACTAGGAGAGGGGTTTCAGGGTACAAGTGTGCAGCTAGCAAGTCCTGGAGAGCTGAGAGCGCAGTGTAGTGAACACAGACAGCAGTGTTGTGTTAAAACCGACAATTCCTGAGAGCTAGATCTTAATTATTCCCACCACAAAAAAAAGAAATGACAGACTTCCCTGGTGGTCCAGTGGCTGAGACTCCACTCCCAATGCAGACGGCCTGGGTTTGATCCCTGGTCAGGGAACTAAGTGGAGAAGGAAATGGCAACCCACTAAAGTGTTCTTGCCTGGAGAATCCCAGGGACGGCGGAGCCTGGTGGGCTGCCATCTATGGGATTGCGCAGAGTCGGACACAACTGAAGCGACTTAGCAGCAGCAGCGGCAGGAGGGGACTAAGACCCTGCATGCCGCAGTTCAGACCAGTCAGCCAAAAATTTTTAAATAAACATTTAAAAAAGCAATGACAACTCTGATGTAGTGAAGTGCTAACTGATGCCACCCCTGTAGGCAACCATATTTCCGTGTTCAGATGTATCAAATCAATGTGCTATACACCTTGGTCTTAAATGTCGTGTGTCAGATACATTTCAATTAAAAATACAGTTTTTGTTAAAAAAAAAAAAAGCATTCCCCATCTGTTCCCATTTTTCTGAGAGTTTCTATCACTGAAGTGTGTTGGATTTTGTCAGATGCTTTCTGCCTCAACTGATGTGACATGTAGCTTTTCTGTGTTAGTTTATTCGTATGGTGGATCACTTTAGTCGATTTTTCACTTTAGCCGATTTTTGAATATTGACCCAGGCTTGCATCCCCAAAATACCCCACAGTCATAGCTTATAAATCTTTTCCTATATTGCTCAATTCTGTTTGCTAATACTTGGCTAAAAATTGATTTCATCTACACTTTTTTTTTTTTTGCATCCATAATCTTTTGGGAGTGCTTTCTTTTTGGTAGTGTCTTTGTCTGGTTTTGGTATCAGGGTAACACTAACTTTATAAAGTAAATTGGTGAGTGTTTCCCCCCACCCCTTCTGTTTCCTGGAAGAAGTGTATGGAATTAGTTTTTCTTTAAACATTTGGCAGAATTCTCCTGTGAAACCATCTGGCCTAGAGATTTCCTTTGGGGGAGATTTGAAATTACAAGTGCGACCCCCTAATTGCTCCAGGACTGCTGACTTCTCTTTTTCGTGGTGAGTCCATGGTGGCATCTTGTGTTTTTCAGGAGTGGTCTGTTTCCCTCCGAGTTGTCAGGTTGGTGACTTGAATAAACAGTCCATTCTTCCTCATGCATCTGGGGATGTGTGTGGCATCTGTCAGTCCCTACTTTTGTAATTCGTGACAACTTCTCTTGTCAGTCTTAATAAATGTTCATCTTTGAACCTACCTAGCTTTTTTATGATGCTAATTTGCTAAGTGTCTTCTTAAGCGACACCCCCAGCCCCCGCGCCCCACTTCCGGCCACATGGAAGTTGGATCTATCCAGTCATGGATTTGGCTTGTGTTGCCTTAAATGAAATCCCAGTGAGTGGAGGGCTTTGGGGATCTCACCATGGGTTAGGGCTTCCCAGGTGGCAGTAGTAAAGAACCCCACCTGCCAGTGCTGGGGACATAAGAGACGTGGGTTCGATCCCTGGGTGGGGAAGATCCCCTGGAGGAGGGTGTGGCAACCCACTCCAGCATTCTTGCCTGGAGAGTCCCCATGGACGGAGGAGCCTGGCGGCTACAGTCCACAGCGTTGCAGAGGCAGACACGACAGAAGCGACCCAGCACACACGCACAGATTAGGTCTCAGCAAGCAGCAGGTGAGTCCTTCATGGTTTTGGAGTGAAACCCACACGGAAAAAAAAATACAGTATGTCAGCCTTGTTTATTGCTCTCCGTGTGATATCAGGTGATAATTGTCACTCTCCTTTCTACTCCTGCATTCCCACAATATGCATGCTTATTTACTCAAAGAAAGAAAGAGGAACAGAAAAGATGCATAAAGAAGGGACTGATGTGGAAGTTTGGGGGCAAGAGTGAGGGGCCCTGAGACCCCGACATCTCACACGTCCCCGAGTTCCCACACTTCCTCCTCCGCCCAAGGCGCTGCAAACAGGAAGCCGTTTGCAGATAAGGATGCAGCCCCAGCCCGAGTCACTGGCCGTCTGACAGCCAGGCCACTCGCCCGACGTGGGTCTGAGCGCAGCCCCCAGGCCGGGGTGCAGGGTCCCCGCGGCCGCGGCCAGATCGCCCCTCCGCCTGCTGTGCGCCTCAGGTAGGGACTCTGCCGGCCCCTCTGCAGCCTGGGGGCGGGACGCGGGGGGACCCTGCGGAAGATGCTGGGGCCGCGAGGCGTGGCTGCTGGGGGGCGCTGGGGGTACTGGGAGCGGGGCGGAGTGGTCTGATCCGGGTCGGCCGGTCGTACGGACCAAGGCCAGGTTAATTCTCTGGTTCGTGGTGGAGACCGCCCGGAGCCCACCAAGGAGAAGCACTTAGTCTACCAGTTACTAGCAGACCGAGGCAAGCCCTGCCAAGCTGACTCAAAGCGGGGAGCAGCAGTTTTTCCTGAGCCCCAGCCCGGTTACGGGCCCCGCAGGAGGGGCGCTCCAGAGAACTGCTCCTCTGTGCTCTCAGTTCAGCTCAGTTCAGTCGCTCAGTCGTGTCTGACTCTTCTCAAGCCCATGAGCCGCGGCACGCCAGGCACCCCTGTCCATCACCAACTCCCGGAGTTTACCCAGCAGCTCCGGGTGGGGCACAGTGACGGGAGTCCAGCGGGGCTGCAGAAGGCAAACTGTCGGGGCAAATCGGGTCCCCTTATGTCGGGTCCTTTTATAATCGGGGAGGGGTCACCCCGCCTCCAGCACTGGGCTGTGCAGTGTCGCAGGGCACCCCCCACCCCCAACACCTGCCTGCAGGCTGAAGCTGGGCCGCAGTCCTGAAGCTGACGGGACGTTTGGAAGCCACCAGTGTGTATAACTGGGTTTTTGGTTTGATGGGAAACATGTTGCCCTGGGGGTGAGCAGAGCAGCACCCCAAACTCTCATGTCTCCAAAATTTTATTTACGGTTTTGAACAATCTATATGCCAAATAAGAGAACACATGGATGATTCTCATAAGTTGGGGGGAAATATGGAAAAGGGCTCTCCTTCCTTTGGGGGTCTTGGTAAGAAGACAGGAAAGATGCGTGCCTTTGGGGTGACACGGGCCGGGCTGTGGCCGCAGGGGAGGCCCAGTGTCACTGCAGGAACGACGGTGGGGGGGGTGGCGTGTCTGCCCCCCAGACCTGCGGCGCCTCCAAGGAACACGCTGCTCCGCAGGCGCTCAACGTACCCACAAGGTGCTGGGCCCGCTGTGGGTGCTGATGAAAATGTACAATTGCATGTTTGGCATACAGGAAGCCTCGTTTTTTCACTGCCTGTTTCATTCTTACAATGTATTTCTGCTAAAAGTTCCAAATTGAATTTCCCTTCCCCTCTGCAAAGCCGCCTCCTTCATGGAGGGGAGGGTCCTAGTCTTGCGGGCTCTGGCCTCCCAGGTCGTGGCCGGGAGATAAGGGTGTTGTTGTTGAAGAGGCGCCGGGAGGAGCTGCAGCTTCCTGGTTTATAAAACAAAATTCCTCTTCTAAGAGGGCAGGAAGGAGCCTGAAGGCTGGGAAACAGGCTCCCACCAGGGTCTGCCCACCCCAACTTCTGCTGACAGGACCTGCTGGGTGGGTGGGCACAGACACATGAGTGGGCAGAGGGCCAGGGGATGAGGGAGGGGCTGAGGGGGCTGTCCACCACTCAGGGTCCTCCTCCCGCTGCTCCCCTTTCTCGAGAGGCGGCCTTCTTGAGAGCAAGTCAGAGCAGTTGTTGTTCGGTCCCTCAGTTGTGACCGACTCTTTGCGACCCCATAACCACAGCATGCCAGGCCTCCCTGTCCATCGCCAACTCCCAGAGTTTACTCAAACTCATGTCCATTGAGTCAGTGATGCCATCCAACCATCTCATCCTCTGTTGTCCCCTTCTCCTCCTGCCCTCAACCTTTCCCAGCATCAGGGTCTTTACAAATGGGTCAGTTCTTAGCATCATGTGGCCAAAGTATTGGAGTTTCAGCTTCAGCATCAGTCCTTCCAATGAATGTTCAGGACTGATCTCCTTTAGGATGGACTGGTTGGATCTCCTTGCAGTGCAAGGGACTGTCAAGAGTCTTCTCCAACACCACAGTTCAAAAGCATCAATTCTTTGGCACTCAGCTTTCTTTATAGTCCAACTCTCACATCCATACATGACTACTGGAAAAACCATAGCCTTGACTAGACGGACCTTTGTTGGCAAAGTAATGTCTCTGCTTTTTAATATGCTATCTAGGTTGATCATAACTTTTCTTACAAGGAGTAAGCGTTTTAATTTCATTGCTGCAATTACCATCTGCAGTTGATTTTGGAGCCCCCCAAAATGAAGTCTGACACTGTTTCCACTGTTTCCCCATCTATCTGCCATAAAGAGATGGGACCGGATGCCATGATCTTTGTTTTCTGAACATTGAGCTTTAAGCCAACTTTTTCACTCTCCTCTTTTACTTTCATCAAGAGGCTCTTTAGTTCTTCTTCACTTTCTGCTATAAGGGTGGTGTCATCTGCATATCTGAGGTTATTGATATTTCTCCCAGCAAACTTGATTCCAGCTTGTGCTTCCTCCAGCCCAGCATTTCTCATGATGTACTCTGCATATAAGTTAAATAAGCAGGGTGACAATATACAACCTTGACGTACTCCTTTTCCTATTTGGAACCAGTCTGTTGTTCCATGTCCAGTTCTAACTGTTGCCTCTTGACCTGCATGCAGGTTTCTCAAGAGGCAGGTCAGGTGGTCTTGTATGCCTGTATCTTTCAGAATTTTCCACAGTTTATTGTGATCCACACAGTCAAAGGCTTTGGCATAGTGAATAAAGCAGAAATAGATGTTTTTCTGGAATTCTCTTGCTTTTTTGATGATCCATCGAATGTTGGCAATTTGATCTCTAGTTCCTCTGCCTTTTCTAAAACCAGCTTGAACATTTGGAAGTTCATGGTTCACGTATTGCTGAAGTCTGGCTTGGAGAATTTTAAGCACTACTTTACTAGCGTGTGAGATGAGTGCAATTGTGCAGTAGTTTGAGCATTCTTCAGCATTGCCTTTCTTTGGGATTGGAATGAAAACTGACCTTTTCCAGTCCTGTGGCCACTGCTGAGTTTTCCAAATAAGTTGGCATATTGAGTGCAGCACTTTCACAGCATCATCTTTCAGGATTTGAAATAGCTCAACTGGAATTCCATCACCTCCACTAGCTTTGTTCATAGTCATGCTTCACACTTAACTTCACATTCCAGGATGTCTGGCTCTAGGTGAGTGATCACACCATTGTGATTATCTGGGTCGTGAAGATCTTTTTTGTATAGTTCTGTGTATTCTTGCCACCTCTTCTTAATATCTTCTGCTTCTGTTAGGTCCCTACCATTTCTGTCCTTTAGTGAGCCCATCTTTACATGAAATGTTCCCTTGGTATCTCTAATTTTCTTGAAGAGATCTCTAGTCTTTCCCATTCTGTTGTTTTCCTCTATTTCTTTGCATTGATCGCTGAGGAAGGCTTTCTTACCTCTCCTTGCTGTTCTTTGGAACTCTGCATTCAAATGGGAATATCTTTCCTTTTCTCCTTTGCTTTTCGCTTCCCGTCTTTTCACAGCGATTTATAAGGCCTCCTCAGACAGCCATTTTGCTTTTTTTGCATTTCTTTTTCTTGGGGATGGTCTTGATTCCTGTCTCCTGTACAATGTCATGACCCTCCATCCATAGTTCATCAGGCATTCTTCAGATCTAGTCCCTTAAATCTATTTCTCACTTTCACTGTATAGTCATAAGGGTTTTGATTCAGGTCATACCTGAATGATCTAGTGGTTTTCCCTGTTACCTTTAATTTAAGTCTGAATTTTGCATAAGTTCATGATCTGAGCCACAGTCAGCTCCTGGTCATGTTTTTGCTGATTGTATAGAGCTTCTCCATCTTTGGCTGCAAAGAATATAATCAATCTGATTTTGGTATTGACCATCTTGTGATGTCCATGTGTAGAGTCTTCTCTTGTGCTGTTGGAAGACGGTGTTTGCTATGACCAGTCAGAGCAATAGGTCTTGCTAAACACCCTGGTAGTCTCCTGATGTAGTTGTTTCTAGCTAGAGAGGATATTATCATGTACACTTTTGATTAAAACAATCTGAACATGGCCTGCATTCCACAAACACCAAGAAGGCAGAGTCCATCGACCTGAGCACAAGCGATCTGTCGCTAAAGCGGTGGTTCCCTCTCTTCCCGCCCCAGCCCTCGTGGTGAGATACCTTCTCATCGATGTGAGGAGATAACGGATAAGCCACAGACCCCTGTAGCAACACAATGTACATGCCTCCTGGAGCGCTAATGTTGACTAAGGGCTTCCCTGGTGGCTCAGTGGTAAAGAGCCCACCTGCGATGCAGGAAAGAAGGGCTCGACCCCTGGTCAGGAAGATCCCCTTGAGGAGGAAAAGGCAACCCACTCCAGTATTCTTGCCCAGAGAATCCCAGGGACAGAGGAGTCTGGTGGGCTACAGTCCATGGAGTCACAAAGAGTCGGACACGACTGAGCAACTAAACAAGCAAAATAAAACGCCGAGTCAAGCGGGTAAGACCACGCAGTGAGAACCAGGATCCCAGGACTGAGGTCTGGATGCACTAGCCCTGCGCTGTCCAGGAATCCGCTGAGCCAACTGCAGGGCGGGGGGAGCGGGCGGGCTCACAGGCGTGGGGACGGGCCCCTCTGCAGGAGACGCGGCTGGGGCAGGCGCCAGGGAGTGGGGTCAGGACGCCACCGCGTGAGGGGCTGGCTTTCCAGCGTTTGGTTTTTGATGGTGAACACGCCTTTGTGTGTAATGAACCTTAGTTACAAAGAACCAAAAGACAACAATCCGGAGTAACACCTCCCAGGATGGTCATCGTTGTCACCCCTGGGCAAGGGGACGTCTGGGTGAAGGATTTTAAGTTAGCACCCGAGTGAGAAAGAGAAAGAGGCAGAGAGAGACGGAGAGAGAGGGATGCCCCAGAACGATGGCAGCGGCCCCAGGCAGGCAGCCTGCACGCTGTCACTCACTCGGGGCTTTCGGAATTCCCTTCACTGTTTATTCCTCCCCGCTCCCTCCAGGAGTCAGCGTCCTGCCAGCCTCACCATGAAGCGGGCTCTGGCTCTGATGGGCCTGGCCTTCCTGTGTGTGCTCCGGGCTGGGGCCGCTCAGCAGACGGTGGACGACGCCTGCTCCGTGCAGATCCTCGTTCCCGGCCTCAAAGGTATGGTCCCCAGGCCTCCCGGGCTGGGCCTCCCACATGGAGGCCAGTGGGCGGGCGGGTAACCTGGGAAAGGCAACTAGGAGGAAGTCCTAAGGAACGCTTTACACATAGACCAGTTGTTGTAGAAAGAGTCAGCAATTTTAAATGGTCCCTTCTGAATCCCAATAAAAATATACAAATGCACAGAAATTGGAAGAAAAGCTGGAAGGAGACCCGCCGCCATGGCGCAGACGCGCTTCTGAGCAGAGTGCAGGAGGGCGCAGCCCCGCCTGCCTACAGCTCAGCCATGTCCACAGAGTAAATACAAAACAGGGGCAGCGTCTAAAGTCAGGCCTCTGGGCTTACAAGCGCATCTCGAGGGCACTTCTGAGAAGGTGCTGTCTTCATCTGCTTCGGCACCACTTCTGCCGCATCCAGATGAGATGTCTCTGGCCCACATGCTCCATGGGCCTGGTACGGCTTTCTCCCCCATGGGCAGCCGCCCCAGGGACCGGTCGCTTCCTTCAGCAATGGTTTCTCACCACCTGGTGAGCCACTGAACTGCCAGGCAAAGGCCAGTCCACAGAGAGCTGACCGGTTGTCCCCCCTGTCCCTCCCACACGCACGGGCTGGGCGGGTGCAGTGAGCAAATGCCGTGCGAGGTCTTCCGCAGAGCGGGTATGTCGCTGAATCCGCCTGGACCCTGCTCACCAAGGCTCACCCGCTAGCAGGCAGTTGGACAGGCTCCAAGCCGCGGCGTGGGACGTCTGGGGCCGTGGGTGACATGCTGTCGCTCAGCGTGCGGTCTAGATCCCGGATCTCGGGGCAGCCTCGTCTCACACGTGTGCTTTCATGCTAGTCTGTCGACATCAAACCGGCATTTCCAGTGGAGAAACTTCCTAGTATATTTGCAAAAGCCCTTGGGATCTGGACAGCTTGCTTTTTCTTAGCTATCCGGCTTTGCCGAGGCGTAACTGGCAAACAAGCTGTGGTGGCTATTCAGGGCGAGCCGCGTGAACCGGCTGGAGGGTCACGCTGACGGGCCCGCCCGCACCTCGCCTGGATACTCTCTGCGCGGCGTGTTCTGACTTGGAGCTGCGGGGCCGTGTGAGGGCCTTCTGCATGAGAGGGTGCTGACTGGAAGCGAGGAGGGATTCAGTGTTCTGGGCTTTGTGTGGGGCAGCGGGGGAAGGGTGGAGGAGAGACGCTCAGGTCTCCGTGCACACGTGCCCCTGCAGAGTGAGGCTGGCATCACGGCAGGGCCCCCCCAGACCTGGGCCCCTGCGGCGGGAGAGGGGGGAGCAGGGGGCAGCTGCGCTCGGCTGGTCCTCACTGCCTGGATCCCCGGCTCACAGTTCCGTCTCTGACCTCACAGGAGTTCCAGGACGCTCCCCGGATGCAGAGAGCAGGAGGCCCCCGGGAGCGGAGAGAGGCCCTTCTGACCCCAGGCCCTTCCATGGGGCTCAGGGTTGTGGGGGGGCTGGGACTGCTCCAGCGCTCGATGTGTAGAGCGTCAGAGTCACACCCAGCTTCAGGGCACAGGGGATGCCCGGCCGCCCCCTGCCCTCTCCAAGCGGCTTCCCGACCACTGGGTGCTCCGGCCACACAGGGAGCCAGGGAGGGGACAAGGGCTCTGCCGGCCACACCTGCCCGGAACGTGCCCAAGAGCCTCTCTGATGACCGCACACGTGTCAGGAATGGCCTTGGCCGGTGGGGATGGAAGTAGAAACACAATATGGGTCCTGCTCTTAAGGTGAAAGAGGAGGTGCGTGGCCTCCGTTTGTCCATTAGATAAACATGGGGCCAGACTCAGCTCTCAAGGACCAGTCAGTGCCCATCTCCTTAGAGAGGGAGCCTGGAGGCACAGAGGGTCGTGAACGCTGCTGCCTCTGCCGTCCCATGCAGACGCCTCCTCCACCGAGTCCACAGGGGCTTTGGGTCCTTCTCAGCACGATTCCAGACAGCCTTCCCCTAGACTGGCGCTGTGCTTGAGGTGAGTTCCGTTTGCAGGCCCAAAAATAGCATGCTCTCTTTGCATTCAGAGAGAGTAAGAGCCCTTTCCATTATGGCTGAAACAATGGGGTTGCAGGGAGAACACTAGTGTGTATTAGCAAGCCTGCCACTCAGAGATTTTAAAACGGCCTCGTTATTCTGAAGGTTTTATCCAATTGATTGGTTCAGTTCAGTTCAGTCGTGTCCGACTCTTTGTGACCCCATGAACTGAGGCACGCCAGGCCTCCCTGTCCATCACCAACTCCCAGAGCTTACCCAAACTCATCTCCATTGAGTCGGTGATGCCATCCAACCACCTCATCCTCTGTCGTCCCCTTCTCCTCCTGCCCTCAATCCCTCCCAGCATCAGGGTCTTTTCCAATGAGTCAGCTCTTCACATCATGTGGCCAAAGTACTGGAGTTTCAGCTTCAGCATCAGTCCTTCCAATGAACACCCAGGACTGATCTTTAGGATGGACTGGTTGGATCTCCTTGCAGTGCAAGGGACTCTCAAGAGTCTTCTCCAACACCACAGTTCAAAAGCATCAATTCTTTGGCGCTCAGCTTTCTTTACAGTCCAACTCTCACATCCATACATGACTACTGGAAAAAAATTGATTGGAGGAAGGTTGATAAAACGCTCTTCTGAAATGTTTCTCCCGGCCTGTGTCCCCTTCTCTTGCCGTCTCCAGGCCCCTTCCTTCCGTTGCTGGGGCACCTGTGCCCTGCGCTTGGCCTGGGGAGGTCTGCCCGCAGACTTGGCATTTGCAGCAGGTGTGGTGAGAGCCGAGCCGCTGTGGTCCTCCCCCGGCAGCTGTGAGCTCAGCCCGCGATGTGCGCCCTGCCTTCTCGCTCCAGTGGAGAGTCTCCCCGAGTGCAGTCTAGGTGGGGGAGCTCGCCCACGAGTCTCCAGGCGAGCCTCCCTTCCCTGAGGCCGGAGGACATCTGCACACAGCTGCGGGAAATGAGCAAGACAGCAAAGTGTCAGCCTCTGCTGGTGGAGACACTACGAATACCCGAATACCCGTCATTCAGAACCTGACGTAGCAAATCGGCCCCAGATCAGCTCCCGACAGAGACCCAGCTGTGGCGAAAGGCTTCCGTGCTCCCGGGCTTGTGTGCGTTGCCGGATGCGTGTCATCACGTGTGTGTGCGGGAGGGGTCAGGAGGACAGTCCCCAGCAAGGACCCCCCAGCCCCGCAGGAGTATAGGCCAGGCTCTATGCCCCCAGACAGCAGACACCATGAATTCAAGCCCTGCCGAACACCAACAGGGCTTGGAAACTGCCTGTGTTCCCGGATGCGCCTCGCGGGCGCGTGTTCAGGGAGGAAGTCAGGGCAAAGCCTCTGGACAGGAGGCCAGGAGCCTCCCTGGGCCGGGCCCCGCGTCTGAGTCTGTCGGGCGGCCCCAGCACGCTGCGCGCAGGCCATCCCCTCCTCTTCAGAGACGAGGGAGCCAGGCGGGACAGTCTACATGGCCTGGGCAAGGAGGCCAGGGGGCTCCAGGTCCTGGACGACCCCCGGCAGGACCGCGAGGAAGGCTCGGGGCCTCCGTCCAGCGCTGGGGGAGGCTCGAAGGGCCTGGAGCCAGAGAGCCACGCGCCAGCGCCCCAGAGCCTTGGGAGAAGGGCGAGGAGGGCCCTCTGCCTACACTTGGGAGGGCAGAAACCCCTCGGGGGGGGAGGTGGGAGGGGTTCAGGACGGGCGGCGCGTGTGTACCTGTGGCTGAGTCACGTCGACGCGTGGCAAAGACCACCGCGGCGTTGTAAAGCAATTATCCTACAACTGAATTAATTAATTAGAAAAGAGAAAAGAAGCCCCATGGGTCCCACTCATCAGGAAGCCTTAACCGTGTCAGGCGATGTCTTATTCCTGTTCCTGTCTCGGCGAGGGGAGTCTGGGGACACGAGGTGATGTTCGGAGCTCTTCAGGCTCTTGCTGACCTTGGATCCTCACTCCCAACCCCTGCCAGATCCTTGGAGACAGCCAATGGAAGCGGGTGGACGTGGGGCAGGAGGCAGCGTGATGGCTTTCTCTCCCCAAGGAGGGGCTTGGCCGCCTGTCCGCTCCCCAGGGCTTGGCTGTCCCGGGAAGCGTGGCTGAGGCCAGGGTTAGAGGGCTGACGTGTGGCCTGTCTCTGGCCTGAATCTTCATCCATGAAGTGGACACAGTTCCCGCGTCACATGGGGTGTGGGGGGCGGGGCGCGAGGTGGTGATGCTATGGAGATGAGTGAAGCGGTGTGTGAGCTCTCGGAGTCCATCCTAACCGATGAAAGAAAACCTGGTGGGTTTGCTGGTGCTACTTTTCCAGGACCGTAGAGGCCCCCGTGAGGTCCAGGCTCCCCAGGTGCTCTCAGAGACGTGGACAGTCTCCTCATTGCCCTCCTGCGATGCAGCAGGTGCTCTGGTGGGCGCTTCCCTCCCGCAGCCTGGCGGGGCATCTGCTCTGAGCACAGGCTGCTCCGGACTCCCCGCCGCCGACCCAGACCCCCGGCTCGCCGCTCCTCACCTGCCCAGGCGGTCCTCTCCCCCCTCACTCCCTGCCTGGGTGCATCGGCCTGCTTCAGCAGGTCTCTGTCAGAAGCCATGTCATCGGGGAGGCCCCTCCTGATCTCTGTCTAAATTATGGCCTTTTGTTGAAAACCTGCTTCATTTTATTCTCATAGCCCATGTCACTACTGGGGATTCACATCTGTCTAATTCCCATTCACATGCACACAGGCTTTAAATTTTCCTTTTGCTTGTGTTGCTTGCAGAATTTTCTCTTTACTCTGGACGTCCCGTGTGTCACTCTAGCACGTCTGAGTTGTTTCCCTCATTTTCTTCTGCTGCTGCTCTGTGGGCGCTCGCATCTCACCCTTCGTGACTTTCCGCAGAGCTGGAAAGTCACAGCTATGAAGCCTCAAACGTCTGTTCCCCTTTGCTGGAATTCCTGTGTGGTGGGTGTGGGGATTTGTGGGTTTTTTATTCAACTCCCGACTCAATAACTTCACAACCGAAACAAAACTTTCCAGCCCTTCATCCAAGCCCTTCTATCTAATCTTTTGTTTCATAAACTAGCCTTGTCATTGGCTATTCTGTTGCTCAGCCTGTCTATGTGTGTGTTAAGTCGCTTCAGTCGTGTCCGACTCTTTGCGACCCCATGAACTGTAGCCCGCCAGGCTCCTCTGTCCATGGGATTCTCCAGGCAAGAACACTGGAGCGCGTTGCCATGGCCTCCTCCAGGGATCTTCCTGACCCAGCGATGGAACCCATGTCTCCCGCATTGGCAGGCAGGTTCTTTCCCACTAGTGCCACCTGGGAAGCCCTGTCTATAGAGTAACTGGTTTTGGAAATCCATTTCATGCAGGAGATCCCTAGTTGGTCCTTCCTCACTGCCGTTTGCTCCTGTTCCCTCTCATCTCTGCGGGGTCCTCCGGGCCTCATTTCAGAGCAGGTTCTGGCTGCCAGCCGAGTCCTGCCTCCTGGGTTCTTCCTTCTCTCTCACAATGCCGGTGGCCCTGCAGTGTCCGCCGATTCTTGGCGGTAACAGATGAGTCTGTTAGCTGGTGCTTCATGCCGGATTATCAGTGCTTCTCCCAGTACCATTGCTGCAATGGTTTCCTTCCTTTTCAAAGAAAGAAAAAAAGTGAAGTTGTTCAGTCGTGTCTGACTCTTCCGTGACCCCATGGACTGTAGCCTACCAGGCTCCTCCATCCATGGAATTTTCCAGGCAAGAGTACTGGAGTGGGTTGCCATTCCTTTTTAAAAGATAAGAAAAAATCCCGAGAACTACCCGGAGATTCAAGGAGTGTGTGTGCCTCACGTGTCAGTCACCGTGAGTAGTGGCTCCCGGAGCCTCCAGGGCTGTGCTGGGGTGGCGGTGACACGCCCCCCGCCTTCCAGGTCTCCTTGGCGCTCACTTTGCTCATCTCTTTGTTGAACACTTCCCAGCCCACACTCTTAGGCCAGATTATCGGTTTGGGAAATGTCACTGGGGAGTCGGTAACCTCAGAGAAGCTGGCCACCCAGGGAAGGGGCACGTGAAGCGTTCACGCAGGACGGAAGTGCACTTGAACGTGTGCACGCCTGGGAACTTGTGCCTGCTTTGTACACGCCTGGGAAGGTGCGTCAGCCACACCCACTCCCGGGAGGGGGTGCAGCAGGAAGCTACGAGACGCGTGATGACTGTGGTGAGGACAGGCTCCCAGTCTCCAGAGAGGGGAGACCCACCTTGGGGGGCTGAAGAACAGCCTCCTAGAGGGTCTGATGATGAGAAGGAACCCCTCCAGGTGGGCTGATGGTCGTGGCCGACTCGGTGGAAGCAGCCGTGTGAGAAAGACCTGGGCTCCAGGCATGGGCTTGTGGGGCTTAGAGACGGGACATTATTTTTAGGGACATTCGGCAGTCAGTGGTTTTGAACCTCCAACCAAGGAAGGTGTCCTAACTGGCTCTGCATTTTAGGAAGGTCATTCTGGCATGGACTGGAGCGGGACCGGGGCTGGCGGGGGGCCGGGATGTTCTGTCAGGACTCCGTCCTCTCCTGCCACATCTAACCTGCTCCCGCAGGGTTGTCTACAACCTGGCCCCTGTCCCGAGCCATGTGAGGGCAGGCTCACGGTCCACGCACCCCCAGAGCTGCAGAGACACAGCCGGGCCTGGGGGCCGCAGAGGGAGACGGGGAGAGCTGGCTGGCCTGTGCACAGCTGGCGGATACTCACTCTCCCAGTTGCCTCCCAGTCTTTGGCTCAGACGGTAAAGAGTCTGCCTGCAGTGCGGGAGACCCAGGTTCAATCCCTGATTGGGATTCAATCCCATGGATGGAGGAGCCTGGTCAGCTGCAGTCCATGGGGTGGCAAAGAGTCAGACACGACTGAGCGACTTCTCTCTGTCTCTCTCTGCGACCCCATGGACTGTAGCCCGCCAGCCTTGGCGAGGGCATGGAAAACCAGAACAACTCGGGGCCTGGGGCTTGGCGTCTGGGCGAGTCTCATTGGCAGGAAAGTCCACAGAAGAGACTCACTTCTGGGGGAAAACCCCGGGGTTGATTTGGGACGTGCCAAGTATGCAGTACCTGGGAGACTCAACAGACAGCCCATTTCCCTGTTTCAATTTTGAACAAAATAAATGAAAGCGAGGCCAGTGGAAAGACGGCGCCAGCCCTGAGGGCTGGCTGGAGAGGGGCCGGCGCCTTGCTTCGGGGAGAGGGTGGGCGAGGACCCCAGAGTCCAGAGAGCAGACGCAGAGGGAGGCCGGTGGGAGGGGTCGGGACCGGGGCTGAAGGCCCTGGGGCTGGGCAGGAGGGAGGGCAGGGCCCGGCTGGAGGCACAGACACGGAGCAGCTTTCTCCGGTTGCCCCCTCCGCACAGAGGTCGGGGCCCGGCGCTTGGCGTGAGGTCCTAACAGCCTGTGGCTTCTTCCGCAGGGGATGCTGGTGAGAAGGGGAACAAAGGTGCCCCAGGACGGCCCGGAAGAGTCGGCCCCACGGGAGAGAAAGGTACCTGCTGACCCTGGGCCCCGTGGGCACGGCTGGGGCACGGGCGCTGCTGGGGGAGAAGAGGGTGGGGGAATGTGAGTGAGCAGGCGCATACAGCGCTCTTTGTACAGTGCTCCCGGGTTCCTGCCTGCCTGGCCCCAAGAAACAAAGTGCTTCCTGGGGGGCGCACATCACGGGATGGCTCAGAGCGTGGAGCTCAGCTCTAGCTGGCCCTCACGTGGCCTGTGATCGTCACACATGTAAGAGCAATTATGAGGGTGTGCAAACAGCGATGGAAGCAGTTACGTCGGTGTGCAGGGGAGAGCGGGTGCAGATTTGGGTGGGCCATGGTGGGTCACTCTGTGGCCTCCCATTTATGGCTGATGGACGCTAGTCATTTTCTGGGGGGTTCTGAAACCCGAGAATGAAGGTCACTTTGCACCTGTTCCCTCGCTAGTAAAATGGTGTCTGGTAGCCTGCCTCCTGGGCTGGTGCTGAGGCTCACAGGGAAGCAGCTACACGGCGCACAACGAGGTCAGCAAGCACCCTCTTTAGGGACACTTACTGCGGCTGCTTCAAAATTTGGGAAGTCCTTAAAAGCGGTGTCGAGGGCCCTGTCAGCCTGGGACACTGTCCTGTGAGAACACACCCTGAGACGGTCTAGCCCGTCCCCAGCCAAGCTCACAGCACTGGTGTCAGCTGGAGGCTGTGAAAGGCCCTTATGTCTGTCGGCCCATGCCCTGTTTCCTCATTTTTTCGAGGTGTGATTTACCCACTGTCTCCTTTTGGCATGCACCATCCGTGACTTCGGCCTGTGAAACCCTGGTCCCACGTAAGACCTAGAGCGTTTCTGTCACCACCACCCCTCCATCAAGCCCAGGAGCTGGTTTTTAGTTATTCTGCCTTTACTTGGAACAAATTAATTCAAAAATAAACCAACTATGCTCCTGGCTCAAAGTTCAAAACGTATATTCCCAGGGACTAGCCTCCTTCCTTCCCCACCAGCCACCCTCCCCACTGACCTACACTCAGGGTTCTTCATCTTCGCAGAGATATTTTGGAACAACCAAGTGAGCTCTGTTCTTTCCTGCTTCTGTAGAGCAGTTGCAAAATGTATGCGCTGTCGTGCATTTTATTCTTTCCGCTTGTCTGTGTACTTGGAGATCCGTCCACAGGAGGACACGCGGGTTTGCTCGCTCCCTCCTGACGACATGGTGTCTGGGTTTTATCTGGCTGGTCTCCTGTTAAGGCAGGTTTGCAGTTTCCTAGGGCCTGGCTGCAGTGAGTCATCTTTAAATGTCATTCTTAATGTGAATGAGTGGAGCTGGAAGATAAATTCCAGGCATGTAATTGTAGATTGAAATGCTGGTGTCTTTGAAATATGGGTGGATATGGCCGTTCAAAAGGGTCAAATCTGTCCACCCTTTCTTACTGAAGCAAAAGAAGGCCATCCGCCATCACCCTCACTGCCTCAGAGAGCCACCAGCCTGGCAGCAGTGAGAGGCTACATCAGTGTGCTCTTTAAAAAGACGTGTTGACTTACCTGGCCGCATCAGGCTTTCGCTGGGACACGAGGGATCTTTGTTTCGTCACACAGGAGCTTTCGTCGCTGCCCACGGGCTCTCTAGTTTTGGCCCGTGGGCTTAGTTCCCCCGAGGCATGTGGGATCACATTTTTGTGAGTTGCTGAGAAAGTGTGAGGAATTCCCTCCAGATGTCCCGAATGCCCCCTGGGTGTCCAGTCTCCCTGGTTTTGCACCGTTTTCCGCGTGGCGCTCCTTCCTTCCCTTCTCCCCTGGCTCCTGACTGGGGTCTTCCCATCCCATCAAGGACCCGGCCCTTGCAAGGCCCTCAGTCAGTAGTCTGGGAAATACCTGGAAGGAATGCCTCTGAAATCTGTGGGTGGCCTGTCTGAGGGCCGGGGTGACTGTGCGGGGACCCGCCCCTCCTCAGGTTCTGGGAGGAGGGGATGGTCTGTGGCCGAGGCATCTGGCCACGCTGGGCTGGCTTCCCCCTGCTGCCTGCCCGTCAGGCAGACACTCTGCTCTGAGATGCTCCTCCAAGCAGGAGGACCAGCTGGGCTTACACAGCTTCAGCTTTGGTTTGGGGGGTGGCCGAGGTGGGCAGGACTGTCTGCCGGCGCCAAGGGGGGTGTGGTGGGTGGGACCACAGCACCCTGCCCCTGGCGCCCTTCTCAGCCCAGCTCCCACGGAGGGCCAGCCGTGTCGACGTGGGGCTGCTGCAGGCGGGGCCCCCCTCTTTGGCTGGCATGCCGTGTGTTGGGGGGAGGGGTCTCTGGTCACACACAGAGCAGCCCCCCTGCTGGGAACTCAAAGCAGCTGCAGCTGAAAGTGCCTGCAAGCTGCTGGCTGGCTTTTCTGGAAGAACAAAGACCAGCCCGTGCGCGGCAGACCACCCGCCCCCCCACCGCTGTCGGGGTCCTTCATTGGAATGCGAGTCCTGCCCACACTTCCTGCCCGAACGCCCTGTGCACACAGCATGAGCTGGGCTTGCTGACACCACCTGCTAATCATGTGTCGTCTCAAGCCCCCAGACACGCAGCTAAGAGGTCGCCCGCTGGGCCCCCGAGCGCAGGAGCTGGGGCCCCTCCCGGCCCGGGAGGGTGAAGGGTGATCCCGACCCTGATGGGCTTTCTGGGCGCTGGAACGCGTGCCTCATCCCCATTAAAAATCGCTGAGGAAGCGGGCTGCCAAGTGCTCTTTCTGTCCTGTCTCCTCTTCAAAGGACTGTGTGAGATCTTCATTAAAATTAATCAGGTTCACCAGCCGGCTGCAAGCCCTGTCCCTCGTGCGTGTCCAGAGGACGTTTGTGTGCAGTGCCCGTCTCATCAGCGGAGGGGACGGGCTCCCCGGGAGCCGCCGCCGCCAGCTCCGGAGGTGTGGAGGGACAGGATCTGAGTGTGCCCAGTGTGTTCCCAGTCCTCCCCCACCCCCAGAGCAGGGGGGGTTGCTTTTTTGTCCTAAAGGACTCGAGAGGAGGCATGACAAAGGCAGTGGGCTCTTGTTGCATCCAGTCGCTACGAGTTAGCAGTCACCCGGCTTTTCTGCTGCTTCGGGTTGACCGTGGGTCGCCCTCAAGCAGAGAGCGTGTGGATATGTCAGGGGACCCAGTGGTTCTCGCCTCTTCCTTCTCCAGCAAACCCCACAGAGAGAATATTCCATGAGGAGCAGCAGCCCACCCCTCAAAGGTCTTGTGTGCGCAGGGTCAGGGCGCAGGACCTGCTGGCTCCTGCTTCCAGTTCCAGCCCAAGTTCTGCAAGGATGACAGGGTTGCAGGGTGCGTGTTTACGTTTGAATGTCTGAATGTGGTGTTCGTTCATGTGTGCATGTCTGTGTGAGTGTAGACATGTGTGTACGCATATGTGTATGTGTATATCATGCATACACATGCACAGACATGTGCATGAGCATATTTGCATGAATGCACGTGTGCACACATGTATATGTGTATACGCATTAGCATACATGTGTGGGTACACATGTAACAGGCACACACGTATATATGTGCACACATGTGCACATGTGCACACCTGGTAACTAACACTGCCCGCAGCAGCACCCACAGCTGGTAGCTATTGTCACTCTGCCCTTGGGGGGCCTGATGTGTGGGAACCGTGCAGGGCAGGGTGCTGGTCATGCTGGCCACACCTGGGGCCCAGCTTCCCCCAGCGCCCGGCATTCTGCACAGAGGTCCTCTTGTGAGGCCACCAGGCAGGGAGCAGGCCCAGTCCTGCTCTAGCTTCGGGGCCTTGGAGTCACCCTGGGATGTGTTAAAATGTAGACTCTGGTGTGTGAGCTGGTTGGCCCAGGGCTCTGTGTGTCTGTGTGGGTCCAGGTGGGGTCGGATGACGGGTGCAGTTCGGCCAGGGCCCAAGTTCTGAGCGCCCCACACACGGCTCCTCAGGGCAGGTGGGCAGTACCGTGCACCCAGCGTCGCAGACCACAAAGAGGGCATTATTATACACCGTCTGGAGAGAGTCGATTTTGAGGGCCCAGATGCAGGTCTGGCTGAGCCCCAGCCTCGGCCTGCACGGGTGGCCTCCTGCACCTCCAGCCTTCTCGTGCCCCCAAAACCTCAGGGGTCCCAAGCCTGGTTCTGGGACCAGGATGCAGACCAGCATCTGCATCACCTGGGAGCTTGTGGGGACACCCCTCCCAGACCTGTGGAGTACCCCCTGGGGTGGGTCCAGTCATCCGTGGTGACAAGCCCCCGGGGGCCTCTTCCCGGGTCTGCAGACCGCAGCGCCTTCGCTCCCTGTTGGCCTTGGGCTCCAGGCCTGCCTCCATCCCCTGCCCCATGAGCCGCTAGTGTCCGACTGTCTGATTGCCCGTGTCTGTACCTGGTTTCTCAGAGCTCCCTACAGCAGCGACCACGTCCCACACTCCTCCAAGGGCAGGAGCTGGACACAGACATGCTGGGGACAGGTGCCCTGTGTCAGCGGCAACCTTGAATTAGTGGTGAAGTTCGGCTGCGCAATTCACAGATGGGCTGAACGCCAGGGGCTCTGCAATCATCCTCCGGTTATGACTTATTTACAACAGCAGGATGTGTGCTAGACCCTGACTGCGTCCTTCAGCAGATGAGCTGAATCATTACTTGATCGACTGCTAAGCTGGGAGGTTTTACATGTGGTGGGGGAAGCGGGGGAGGAAGCACTTCACCAGATTGTTCCTGATGGAGGTGCTTCCCCTCTAGGCCCTCCTCCCAACCTCCTACCCTCTCCTGTCTGCTTAGGGCGGCAGGGGCCCTTTCGGAGGAGCAGAGGGGTGGGCAGGTGTTGTTCTGAGCGCCCCGCTGCAGGGGTCTCAGGGAGAAGTAAACCTCAGGTTGCAGGAGGCCTGCACGGTGTTCTCACCTTTTCTAGTTGGAATCTTCTTAGCAAACAGCAGACTCCGGGTGCCGGGCCCGCGCTCACACCCGACCTACCCCAGTGTGACCCAGGCTCCTCTGCGGTGGTGGGTCTTCTGAGTGAGACGGCGTGTTCCCCAGGCAGGAGGTCACCCCCAGGCTCCAGTGGCCCGCCGGTCTCCAGTGGGGTCCTCGTGCCGGGAACCATTCGCCCAGCCCCTCACTGTAGGTGCAAGCCCCTTGACTGTGTCTCTACCCTCCCGCCTGCAGCTGTGGTCGGGTGGGTGGTCTCCGAGACCTCCAGCTGCTCTGGGCATGGGTCTTCACGAGGCTGCCGGTGGAGCCCAAGGTTAATCTAATTTAGCGGATCTGCACGTCCCCTTAGGAGGCCATGGCAAGCGTCCCAGCGGACCCTGCGGGTCAATGAGGAAACTGTGAAAACCAGCCGAACCACCCCAAGAGGCCCCCACACGTCTCCTGTTACAACACTCGTCACCGGGGTTACAGCCGCCTCCTCCGGCAGACGCTGAGCTGTGTCGCTCTTGCGTCCCCAGCATCACGCAGGGCACACGGCGTCTGGGGCAGGACTCGCCTCGTGTCCTGCCTCCTCGTATGTGTGCGTGGCTGTTTGTGTGCGCATGTGTGTGTGTTCGGGGAGGCTGGCATGCGTACATGTTACCCGTACGCGTTACCCGTACATGTTACCCGTGCCTCGGCCGACCATGATCTCGTTGTTTCCCCAGGCGACGTGGGCGATAAAGGACAGAAAGGCAGCGTGGGGCGCCACGGGAAGATCGGCCCCATTGGCTCCAAAGGTATCTCACTCACACCTCTGGCTCACGCTCGCTCGCGGGCTCACCAATGGGCGCTCAGAGAGCAGCTGGCGGACGTGTTCATTGTATGTGCTTTACACGTGTTCGGGTCTGCCCTGATGTTTAGTTTTGGGGAGTGATCAGACTCGACTGGGTGCCGCCAGGCAGGGGTGCCTCCACCCTGCAGGGCTCACGAGCTGCCCGGTCTCGGGGGACAATCAGGAGGCCCGTTTGAGCAGCGGAAGGACGGTGTTCTGGATGCACCATGTGTCCACCTCCCGCTCGGGGGCTCAGACTTCCTGGGACTGGGGGGCAGCTCCCCACAAGCATCAGGGCCCCCGTCACCCCGTCTGACCTGCACGACCCTGGAGGGTGGGCTTGAGAGACGAGGCCCAGGGCAGTCAAGGGGTGGCTCAGCCTCATGCACTGCCCCCTGCATCCTCTGTCAGCGAATGATTTCTGAGCCCCTGGCTTATCTGCACCTCTGCTGGACCCCCAGGATCCTGATGAGGCAGGCAGACCCCCGGTCCCATGGAGGCTTCCCTCAGGTCTTGTTGCAGGTGTTGGCAGCAGGAGACCGAGGCTGGGGGGGGGGGCTGGAAGGCTGCGGGGGGTTAGGGGTGAGGGAGCTTGGCTGTGGTCAGCTCTGCCCAGTGGGCACACCCTCCATCACAGTCCTGGCCAAGAGCCCTTCCTGCCAGGGCCAGGCTGGGCCAGGGCAGGTCCCTGTGGCCACCATCAGGAGAGATCACCTAGACCCACTCGTGACTCAAAGCCCCAGATGGGGTGACGGGGCACAGTCCTCGGGCCCCACGCTGGGGACAGGGACTGTCCCTAGAGCGCCCCTGTCCCTAGCAAATCCGCAGGGAGCCCCTGCCCCGGGGATTTGTCATGGAGCACACAGACGTGCGTGACACAGAGGAGGACACGACTGCTTCCGGGAAACTTTAAAAAGTGGTGGTAAAACATTCATAACATAAAATGCATCATTTTCAGTGTACAATTCAGTGCTACTAAGTACCACTGCCATGTTGTACAACCACCACTGCTGGTTTATATATAGAGAGATATTTGAAAATATATATATTTCCAAAATGCTTTTGTTACTCCAAAGAGAAACTCTGTTTTCATGAAGTAGTAACTCCCCTTTCCGTTCCAGCCCCAGCGACCACTTATCTGTGTTCTGTCTGTGAACGTGCCCATTTAGATATTTCACATACATAGAATCATACACTATTTGCGCTTTTCTATCTTATTTCACTAGAACGATGCTTCTGAGGCTCATCTCTGCTGCAGTAGGCGTCAGGACCTCCTCCCTCCATAGGCTGAACGATATTCTGTTGCATGGATGGATCACACTGTGCTTGCCCCTTCATCTGCTGAGGGTTGCTGGAGGGGTTTCTGCCTTTTAGCTGTTGTGCAAAAGGCAGTGGACGTTGCCTAGGAGTAGGGGTGTGCATGCTTGTAACACACAGCACGTGCTCTGGGTAAATGTCGGGGTCTCATGGGGGACAGCTTGCCCTGGAGGCACTCAGTGGGCTCAGCTTACCTGGGCTTCTGTGTCTCTGAGGCTGCCATGCTGGGCCCTTGTCAGGTTGAACCCTGCGTCATTCTCAAGCTCCTGATGCTGATAAAACAAAGGCATCACTAGGGTGGAGCCTGCCGAGCTCTCTCCGTCTCCATCAGACAGAACACGGGTCTCCAAGGATATGCACTTCACCATCCCTTCACTGCCAGGTCAGCGGAGATGCTTAGGTTCTCTCAGTGGGAAGAATGATTATGCTTTAGGGACATCCCTGTGATTTAAAAATAAATATCCATCGTCTAATTTCAAAGCAGCTAGAAGCTCTGTCTCTGTGGCTTTCTCTGAGCCCCTTGTTTCATAAGTTGGGAGAGATGGAGGGGCAGAGTGGCTGAGTGTCATGTCCTGTCCACAGAAGGCTGGTGCCCAGGTGTCCATAGTGACACCTCGCTGCCTCCCAGAGAGGGTCGGGGAGGATCAGTCTCATCTTGACTCTGTCTGGCTGGGTAACCAGTAAGGTCCATTCATCTCTGAGGTCACATGTTCCACCTGGGTTCTCTTGCTGTGATGAGGGACTCAGACAGGACTAGCACTGAGCCTAAGATTTCCTGAGATGATGGATGTTCTAGGAAACACGCTGGCTTTCCAGGACTGACATGAAGGAACGCTTGTCTGGTAACCTCTCAAGTCCCATGCAATGTGTATGTTTCCGGTCATGTAAGCAGAGACTGGAGAGGCAATCGTCGACAGACTGTATGTACCTCCCTATAGTTTGCTGCGGGAGGAGGGACTGGGAGAAACCCCAGGGCACTGCCCATGGGAGAATGAACGCTGTCACCTGGACATTCTGAGCTCATGGAGCACGCCCCACCCCTGCGTGGTGACTTTGGCCTTGCTTCTCTTTTGCAGGTGAAAAAGGAGATTCTGGTGACATAGGACCCCCTGGCCCTAATGGAGAACCAGGTATGGCATAAAGGGTCCAAGACTTTCTTAAACATGTGTTAAAACTGTACTTTTTAAAAGCTTAAATCATGACAGCACCCGGACCTGCCACCCTCCACCCCTCTCCCCGGCGCCGATCCCTAGGCTCCTTCAGTGATTGGTTCCCTCCCGCCTGAATGTGTCTGTGTCCTGCTTAGGGCCGTGGTCTGCCTGCCGACTGCATGTGGTCCCAGCTCCTCATCCGGCTCAGACACAGGGGTCCTAAAGACCCCTAAAGGTCCTTTCCTGATGCGTCTCCGGGGAGCCCGCTTGCTCTGAGCACCTGACTTCTCTGAAAAGCACTGTCTGTACCATCTGGTTTTGCTCTTTCTGGAGTCCTTGCAGCAGACTCCCCAGGGGACCCCAGCCCAGCTCGTCCCTGCCGGCCACCCCTCCGGCGGCGGGCAGACCCGTCCTCTCTGTCAGCGTCCCGTCGCCCCCACTTCCCCTGTCTCCCCGGAGGAGCCCCTCTGCTGTCCGCCTTCCTTCTCCACGCGGAGCCGCCTGCCCCACCCCCTCCAGGGCGGCCCTCGCCGTCCAGCCCACCACCCAGCTCGCGCCTCCAGCGTCCCCGCAGGTTCGCCTTGTCCACACACAGCCTCCCCACCCCGCCGGACTGTCCCTGCGGGCACCCCCGTCGTCAGTCCTGTTTCCGGTCCCTGCCGCGCGCTCCCGCGGCTCTCGCGGCCCCTCAGACCCGTTGCTGAGACCCCCTCCTGGCGGGTCTGCACCGGCCGGTCCTTCTCTGCTCCCCCCGCCCCCCGGGTGGCGCAGGAGACACCTCACAGACTCTGGATGAGGTGGGGACGCGGTGTCCGCCTCCCTGGGGCGGCCCCTGGGCGCGCTGAGGGGCCTGTCGGGCGGACAGCGGGCCCAGCTCTCCAGCTCGGCCCTCAGAGACCTCGAAGACACGTCTCAGAGAAAGTGCCCTCAGAGCGACCGCTCCCAGGCGCGGCGGCGCCAGTGCCCCGGGAGGGGGCGCCCTGCGGGTGGTGGGGGCGTTCGGGCTGTCGGTGATAAAGGGTGGCTGGGAGTCTGGACGACGGGCCAGACACCCACGCCGACGAGTCCTGCGGGTGGGCGGGGCCGCGGTGGGGGCGGAGCCTAGTGGGCGGGGCCATAGGTGGGCGTGGCCGCGGCGGGCTGAGCCATAGGTGGGCAGAGCCTTGTGTGGGCGGGGCCGCTGGTGGGCGGAGCCAGCGGCCCCTCCAGGTCTGGAGCCCAGGCAGGAGCCAGGTGTGACTCCACCTGCGAGTCGACCCGGATGCTGTGACGGCCAAGTGACATTCTGAAAAGGCTCCTTACCTCGTGGAGCTCTTCAGGGCATGATGATTAGGGTCCTCTCGAGAGGCCAGGAGGAGATAACTAAACTGAAGCGTGCTGGGCCACGCATGGATGACCAAACATCACCCAAGGGCTCCAGCTCCACCATGGTTCTCAAACGTCTCGTCTTCTCTCCACCTTCCCCCATCCCCCACCCCCCGCCCCCGGCAATGATGGTCCAGATATCCTCCAGCGGTGACAGTCACGACACCCACTCTCGCCCACCCCGTCCCACTTCTGCACCCCACTGATTTCCTTCCCACGGTGACCAGAGCGAGACTGAGAAACTCGGACCTGACTCGAGCGCCCCTGTTGCTGCCCTCCCACCGCTCCTTGCCTTTAGGGTTAAGTCTCGCTCACAGCCTGGACGGCCTGTGTGTCTGCTGCATCACATCGGTGCTTTGGGGAGGGGGTTCATCTCCTAACATGCTGGCCATGGTCTCCATCCACAGGCATCCCATGCGAGTGCAGCCAGCTGAGAAAGGCCATCGGGGAGATGGACAACCAGGTCACCCAGCTCACAGCTGAGCTGAAGTTCATAAAGAACGGTACGTGCTTCCAGGCACCTTCCTGCTCCCAGGCCTCCCCCAGCCCTGCCCCGGGGACTGCTGGATGCGGGGGTGGCTTCCGTGGGCCGGCTGGGACTCTGTCTGCCCCTGCTGCACGGTGCGCTGGGTCGGTGCTCCGTTCGGGGACCACCAGCGCTCACCCTGCAGCCCTATCGTTGCAGCCGTCGCTGGGGTGCGCGAGACGGAGCAGAAGATGTACCTGCTGGTGAAGGAGGAGAAGCGCTACGTGGACGCGCAGCTGGCCTGCCAGGGCCGGGGCGGCACGCTGAGCATGCCCAAGGACGAGGCCGCCAATGCGCTGCTGGCCGCCTACATCACGCAGGCCGGCCTGGCTCGCGTCTTCATAGGCATCAACGACCTGGAGAGGGAGGGCGCGTTCGTCTACGCGGACCGCTCGCCCATGCAGACCTTCAGCAAATGGCGCAGCGGGGAACCCAACAATGCCTATGATGAGGAGGACTGCGTGGAGCTGGTGGCCTCAGGGGGCTGGAACGACGTGGCCTGCCACCTCACCATGCACTTCCTCTGCGAGTTTGACAAGGAGCACGTGTAGGGGGCCCCTGCATCTCCAGGGTCTGAAAGGAAAAACAGTGCTTCTGGGTATTATTCCTGAAGAACCTAACGTTTTACAACTTGTAGCCAGAATGTTTGTTATGTAATTATTACTCAGAATTGCTCTTGGCTTTGTCCAAAGTATAAAATGACGTCTTTAAATATTACAACAGTTAAGTACGAACAATGGTAGTGAGGTCTTAAAGGACTATGTATGGAAAAGCATCCTCTTAAATTTATCATGCATCTGTAAATTATATTAAAATATAAGTTCCTTTTCTTTATTAATCAAGTAGAGACAATTTTGCTTTGCTGCAAACCCAGATTTCAAGAATAAGAAAAATAAAGGCTCTAATCTGATGATTGAATGTATGGTGCCCTTTTGTCTTCCACGTCCTCAGTAGCAGTATTCCTTGTCTATTCTTGTATCACTGTCACCCCCAAACAGCAACTTGTGACAAATCATCAGTGTCCCTGCAGGTGCCGTGGGGCAGGACTTCATGCCAGGCACAGCCAGGCTCTGCCTCACTGGCCACACTTGACCATGAGGCCACACAGGTGGCTGGATGATGCCCGGGTTCCTCGCTGGGCACTTCTGCCCTGGGCAGCTCCCGATGACCGCTGGCGCTTCCGAGCAGTGCAGCCTGAGCCCATGAGGGAAGTGACGCCCCATCCCAGTCTGCATCCCTGTCTCAGAAGCCAGTGGCCAGGCCCAGCCTATACTCAGGAGGGGCATCCTGGGGGTGGGGCCACTGGGGGCCATTCTAGAAGCTGCCTGCCACAGTCACCCGTGGTTCTTCCTCCTGTATGTCAGAAACCTCAGCAAAAAAATTAACAAGCATCTTCATTTTTCTAAGCAAGCAAATAACAAACATCTTCATTTTTCTAAGGAAGCATATAGAGATGCATGTACGAAGGAAAACGTCTGGGGCTGGGGGCCAGAAGGGGCTGGGGGAGACAGTCTCAGGGCCTCCTGCGAGTCCGTTTTGGGATCGAGGCCCTGTTACCCGACTATGTCTGCAGCTTGTGCACTGACTGCCTCGGAGGAAGGGGCAGTCTGCCTTGAGCCACTGGGTCAAAGGGAAGGCCGGGTGATGCCCAGTGCGGTGAGGGGCCAGATTCCGTCAGAGGGCTGGTCCTCTCCGAGCACCCTGTGGATGTGTAGGTACCACAGCAGCCTTGCTCGGGGTTTCTGTTGGTGCCCCCACAGCACCCCGAGGTCTGCAGGCATCCCCACCCCCAGCCCACTGCCCTGAGCTGGCCCGGGTGCCTGCCCCTCACAGGACGTGCAGATCCAGCCCAGGGGGCCGGTGCCAGGGAGCTGACTGCGCAGGACGGTGCGGGCCAGGGGCCCGGGAGGGGTCCGGCCTGGGAGTCCTGAAGCCTGAGCCTCTGCAGCGTGAGGGCCGGAACCTCTGCCTGTGAGACTGCGCTCCGTCACCGGGGAGGGAACCGCCCTGGTTCTAGGGTGGGTCAAGGGTGCCCCCACCCGGCCCTAGGCGGGCTCTTCTCCCGGGGTAAGTGCAGCCCAGGGCAAGCCCTCACCTCCCTGGTCTGGGTCCCTCTCTTAAAGGGAGGCGGAGTGGGGCACCTCTGTGCTCTCATAGGGACCAGAGGGAGCCATGTACGCCCCCTCCTCCGCCACGCCCTCCTGGGAGGCCCCGTGCCAGCAGGCCGCGCAGGAAGCCCGCGGCTCGGTCTGTGGTCAGGCGGGGCCACACGCCTCTGCAGGGGGTGACGACTGTACCCGCATTTGCTCGGACTCGACAGCCGGCGGGAAGCCGGGATTGAAGCGCTAATTCAATCCCCCGGTTTGGCAAGGGAGGGCGCGGCGCCCCATCTGCGGAGGAGGAGCTGTGGTCTGGCTGCGGGTGGGCCGGGCTTCTCAGGCTGCACCGAGGCGGGACCGCGACGCCGCCCGCGGCCCGGGGGGCTGCCCAGCGGGTGGCCGGTGCGCGCGTCCACACTGCCACCCAGCGGCCGCGGAGACGGCCGAAGGAGGAACAAAGGGATGACCGGCGCCTGGGGGGGGAGGGGAGCAGGGGGCCCCAGACCCAGCCGCGGGGGGCCGTCAGGAAAGAATCGAGCTCGTGTGGGGTCCCTTCCAGGTGCGAGTGTAACCTCAGGTGGCTGCTCGGACTGCAGCGGGGCGGACGGCTCTAGCCAGGAGCTGTCATTCCTGCCCTGGTCCCCACCCCCTGCTGCCCTGGGCCCTGGGGGTCTGGGGGCGGAGGCCGCAGCTAGACTGGCAGGAAGGTGTTTCCTCGCAGACAGATGTCCTGTGGGTATATTCTTGTCCCTGGGGCAGCCTTTGTCTGGACATCCCTGCCTCTTAATGAGGGTGACAAAGGCTCTGACGTCTGCCCCTCTGCCCGTGGGCACCGGCCACCTCTGGTGTCGGGTCTAGGCGGAACCCACACCCTTCCTGGGGGCAGGTGGCAGGGGAAGACCTGGTGGGGGGGGGTCATCAGGTGTAGCCCAGTTTAATCCAGCAGGTCAGAACTGAGGGCAGGACTGTTTCTTCACTGTAAGCAAGAAAATCAGAGTCTGGCTGATATAAGTAGAAAGGGGGTCTGTTGAAAGATTTGGGGCAGGTGAAAGGAATTTTGGAAAGACTGCAGATTGTCGGGTGCTCCGTCCAAGGAAGGGAGAAGCCCAAACATACTGCAGAACATGGGCCTGCAGGGCCGGCAGCCTCCGCCAGCTCTGAGAACCCTGCTGTGGCCGCTGTCTGTGTCTGGCTGGACTCAGAGAAGCGGAGGACAGCGAGGCCCTCCTGCTTTGGGGACCCACTGGAGGCCGCGGCCTGGACACTGTGGCTGCCGCTTCCAGAGAGGCTGTGGGTGACCTGAGACATCAGGACAGAAGCACACCCATTAATTTAAATTAAAACAGTCTGCTCCATGAAGAAGCACAGGACGGGTTTTGCTGTTAAGAGTTTCACTTGGAAGGGAAGACGCGTGCCCCTGGGTGCCAGAGGGTCTGGTGGGAGCCAGCCAGTTTCCTGGAGGGGGACAGGGACAGCCTTTCCATCAGGGCGGAGTGGGGGTGCAGGGGGAGCCACGTGGGCCAAGGCCTGGGAGGAGAGCCCTGGCAGGGAAGCGGGAGGGGCTCCCAGGGTGGGAAATGCCTCCAGGGGCAGGGGCGCCTGCGCACCTGCACACCAGGTGTTCTGAGCCCCTACTTGGGTTAGCCGCTCCTGACATAGGCTCCCAGGATGACCTTGGCAACCTTGGGCTGCAGTTTCTGCATCTGTGAGCCAGGATAACACCGCGCTGCAGGATGCTGTGATGATGAGTGCAGTCGGCTGCGCCCCTCATGTGTCAGACATGACCATGCATATCAGGCGTGACCATGGGTGTCAGGCAAGACAACGTGTGTCAAGCATGACCGTGTATGTCAGGTGTGGCCATGTGTGTTGGGCACGACCACGCATGTCAGGTGTGACCACATGTGTCAGGCATGATCATGTGTGTCATGTATGAACACAGGTGTCAGGCACTGCTCAGCTGTCCCCATCTCACAGGGAGCCCTTCCCCAGACCCCAGGCTTCCAGGGCCGGGGCAGGTGTCTTTCCTGCACCATGAGGCACAGGTATGTTTTCTCCAGGCCCACAGGCCCCTTTAGCCCCCGGAAGCTCCATGTGCGTCTGCACTTTCTGGGCGGAGGGTCCTTCCTGCACCCACCCCCTCTGCTGGGCACCCACGGCTGGGTGTACTGGACACATGCTTTCATGGGAGCCTCCTAGAGATGGACCCCCGGGGACCCGAGGGCTGGCAGAGGGGGGTTCAGGCCCACATTGTTCAGTTGGGGTTGGGGGGGGCCCTTGGCTTCTGCGGGGAGGGGCCGCTCAGCTTGGAGCTCTGTCGCCCACAGCCCTTGTGACGTCACACAGGAGCAGCCCATCCCTGGGAAATTGAATTCTCTCCTGCTGGCGCCCTGGCACCGTGCGACCCAGGCTGGCTTGTGGGACAGAAGAAACCCGGTCCTGAATGCAGAACATCAGACTCCTTGCTGGTGAGCTTGGAGGCCCGTTGATAAACAACACGTTTTAAAGTTGTTATTGTGGAAAGAACAGGGCGGCAGAGAGGAACGTGCTAGCACAGCAAGTGTTTGACCCCCGTGAGAGGGGAGGGTGGGACGGGTCTGGCAGACATTCGGTGTCGGGAGTGGCTGAACCCCAGGAATAGTGTTTGCAGAGCCGGGAACAGCCTGAGTGCTCTGAGTGGCTCTGGGCTCTGGTCCTGCTCTGCTGGGGCTCAAATTGTTTGCCTTTGGTCTTTACAAAACTACAGAAATGCCGACAGCGCCAAGCCCATGGGTGAGATGAAACTTTGTTCCAAAGGAGAGCCACACTCAGGAAAAACAAACAAATCCCCAGTCGCGTTCCCCAGGGGCCTCAGTGCGGACCTTGGGGTCCTCTGTGTCACTGCCCACACTCACTCTAGTTTTGTCCGCACTTCAATAAACTTCACCTATTTTGCTATAAACCTCATACTTCTGGCCAGAGGCTTTTTTTTTTTTTAATTAGGGCTTATCAGCACTGATGACAGGAGTCACTGCTGTTCTTGAATTGTCAGCACGGCCTGGCTGGCTCCTCAAACAAAGACCTTCCACACACGTTTCCTAGATTCACCCCATAGCGCCTTCCCATTTTAGGACAAATCCCAAAGGAAAATAGCTCCTGACTCTATGAAATTTAAAGACTAGGCTTTTTCCATCGGGAGGGAATAATGGCCTCCTTGCACTGGAATAACCCATATAACGCTCCTGATTTCTGATGACCGAGTTGCAGTTTGCCTGAAAAGCTTTAGCATGTGCATTAAGCATCACAGCCTGACCTCAGTCACAGCCCCTTTTAGAGGACGACTTGCCTTTTGCCTAGAATTATATAAATGCTAATTTTAAATGAAGAGGTAAGGGAATTCTGTATTTAGTAGTTAGATGTAGAGGTAGACGCAGCAGGTAGTCTGAGTGGGTGGGTGGTCTGAGCGGGTGGGA